TTTTAAAGACAGGGTTTCACCATGTTGGCCAGGCTGGTCTTGAACTCCTGACCTCAGGTGATCTGCCTGCCTAAGCCTCCCAAAGTGCTGAGATTACAGGCGTGAGCCACCACACCTGGCCCCTAATGTTAACTTTTCAATGGAAAAAGTAATGAACAAATATCCATGGAAAACAGGACTAACACACTGGTAATAATTACATAAATGTTCAGTCTTAAAAATATTTAGCTTTTTAAATCTTGAGGGAGTAGTACTAAACTCCAACATCCCTTGCAGTTTTAAAGTTTTATAATTCTTCGGAAACATTTTCAACTATTAAAGGAAAACTTTTGATTTTAAAATAAAACTATCCTTTTGTCTAAGGGAAAGTTCAGAAAACTCTGGCACAAAATAATGACTAAAAAATCTGTTCTATCCAAGAAAAAACTATTTCATAATAATAAATAAAAGATATTTTTTCTTCTCTTTTCAGTTAGCAATAAATCCTAAATCAAAAAGGTTTCCCTGATAAAATGTGTGCAGCCACACACCAGTAGGGTAATACACCATACTTCAATTTTCTAAGTTGTCAGCTGAAATTTCTTCTTGGATATTATCTTACGAACAATTCAACATTCAAAAGAGCTTCCAAAGGCGATAGAGAATGAGGGATGGGGAACACAAAAACTAAAACATCAACTTCAGAGAGACATGGTTTTCACCAAAATCATACCATTCTATTGACCCAGCAAGAAACTCTCTGTACATCTCAATTAAAGAAAATATTTATCAAAACTATGGACTTTCTTATTTACAGACGCACTAAGTACAGTTCTTAAGCTAGCTAAACATGATGCAAGTGTCAAATCACAGTATAAATTTAAAACATATTTTCATTAGTAAATTATTTTCATGTTCCAGATCACCATCTTTGACAAGCTATACCTACTAAAAGATGTGAAGCAGACACCTATATTCCATGACTCAATTGTAAAGAGATCAGAAAGCTCCAGTCATCGGAGAAAAAATAAAACTGCTATTAAAATTGAAGGCCAAATTTCATGTATCATACATTCATGGTGGGTACATATGTTCAGTCTTCTAACAGAAGGAAACCTGCCTGCATACTACGCTTCTCCTAGTTTTCTCAATTGGAGAAGAAAAGAAATAATGAGGCACAGGAAGAAGGGGTGGCAACAAAGCTGTAGGGTTTTGACACAAGTGAGAAGACACTCATAAAGCATCTGGGAAAGCACATGCTCACACATTTTAAAAAATGCTCACTTATTCTCAAGTTCTTGTGCAGGGCTGTTTTCAAAGTTAAGGAATGCACCAGTCATAAAGAATGATCCCAACATAGGGCTTAAAACACTAACCCCTGGCTGGGTATGGTGGCTCATGCCTATAATCCCAGCACTTTGGGAGGCCGAGGCAGGCAGATGGCCTCAGGTCAGGAGTTCAAGACCAGCCTGACCAACAGGGTGAAACCCCGTATCTATAAAAAATTAAAAAAAAAAAAACAAAGCAAACAAACAAAATGTCTAAACCTCAGAAAAGATTACCATCTTTCAAGAGTTGTGGGAAAATAATGAAAGCCAGGTAGCAGGAAAGTTGTGATCAGAGAAAACACCACAAGAAAACACTTGAGCACATGATATACAGTTGAAGGGAGAACCGTTCATCCTTCTGGAACCATTACTTTGATCAACACAGACTGGAGATACTTTCCTGAAAGATTAATTTGGTTAATGAGAAATGAAAGTGACTATTAGGTGATGTGAGCCAAATTATCTACAAGAGAGAAAAAGAAAACAAACTATATGGAAAAAGCCTGAGGCAAGAGCTTATTAGCTGGTCTACAAAAAGATCCTAGAAAAAAAATGCCCTAATTTTAGACATGTTAGATATTGCACACTCAAAAAAGAAAAAGAAACATTTAGAAAACTATTTTAAATGTCTTTAATTGCTGAATGCCTCTTTGGCTAATATTTGGAAGATCATTATTTAGTCCTGCAACTGACGCATTGTTCCACTTTCCCATCATTTTGTTTGCAAACCACAAAAAGTCTCATTTCCTCATCTTTTTGACACATACCAAAATGGACCCTATGCTGTAATCACACAGGATAATGTTGCAATGTATGAATATCTAAATTGTTTTTAAAAGATATTATTTTTTTCCTTCTGTTTTCAAATCATTTCTGACAGTTTCTAAAGACATGGTCACAGCTGCCTGAAGCATGTCTTCTTCACTCATGGCATCACCTGTTGGGAAACAAAACACACATTTCCTTAACATTTCTGGAAAGTCATCAAAGGGTAAGCTCTTAGAAAATGTATTCCTATTTGATCACACGTTTCTTCTTTTTAATTCATATAAAGCAAATTTTGCTTTTATAGTTGTATAAATTTTGACAAATGCACCATCAAGATACACAACCATTCCATTGCCCCAGAAAATTCCCTCATGCTGCCCCTTTGTGGTCAATTCCCAATTCCTAATCCCAGATAGCCACCAGTACATATTCTCTGTCCAACAGTCTTATCTTTTCCTGCCTGCCATGTAAAAGGCATCAGCACGGTATGGAGCTAAAAGGTATGGAGCCTTTTGCATATGGCTTCTTTCACTTAGCTAATGCATTTGAGATTTGTTGTATATATCAACAATTCATGTATTTACAAAAACTCAACTTTCTACTTTGAAATAATTGTCAATTCAAAGGAATTTGCAAAAATGTTTCGGACAGGTTTCGTGTACCCTTTTGCCCAATTTCACCCAATAGTTACATCTTTTGTAACTAAAGATCAAACTAAAACCCAGATATTGACATTGGCACATGTTGCATGTGGTTGTACATGGCATTTTATCACAATGTGTATTCATGTAACCACCACGACTACCACAATCAAGACACAGAAGTGTTATAATACCACAAAGATCTCCCTCCTATCGATTTATATTCACATCTACCTCTTTCACCCACTTTCTCTAACTGGTGGCAACCACTAATAGGTGTTCTCTATCTCTATACATCTGTCATTTTTAGAATGTTGAACAAATGGAATCATACAGTATAAGAGCCTTTGAGGCTTTTTTGCACTCAGCATAATGTCCCTGAGATCCAGCCATGGTGCTGCATGTGCCAACAGCTGGTTTCCCTTTCATCCTGAGAGTAGAGTACTCCATGCTATGGATGTACTACAGCTTGTTTCACAGAGGACATGTTGGTTGTTTCCAGTTTTTTATTATGACCAATAAGGCTGCTATAAACATTTGTATATATGTTTTTGTGATAATATAAATTTCTATTTTTGGCTGGGCACAGTGGCTCACGTCTATAATACTAGCACTTAGGGAGGCCAGGGCAGGCAGACTGCTCAAGCCCAGGAGTTTGAGACCAGCCTGGGCAATTGTGTCAGTGGAACAATGCGTCAGTTGTAGGACTAAATAATGCTCTTCCAAATATTAGCCAAAGAGGCATTCAGCAATTAAGAACATTTAAAATACTTTTCTAATTTTTTTTTTCTTTTTTGAGTATGCAGTATTGCCCAGGCTGGTCTTGAACTCCTGGGCTCAAGCATTCTACCTACCTTGGCCTCCCTAACTGCTGGTATTACAGGCATGAACCACTGTGCCCAGCCAAAAATAGAAATTTTGCCTAGGCTGGTCTTGAACTCCTGGGCTCAAGAAATCTGCCTGCCTTGGCCTCCCTCCCTAAGTACTAATATTACAGCACTTAGGGAGTATAATACTAAAAAAAGAAAAATTAAAAAATTTATTGTTTTTCTAGGATAAATGCCCAGGAGTACACATGCTATCTCATATGGTCAGGGTTATGTTCAGTTTTTAAACAAATAGTCAAATTATTTTCCAAAGTGGCTGCATCAGTTCAAATGAAATATAGAAAGCTTACCTCCCTTTATATTCCTTGACCCTCCCCTTCATTTGTAATATAATTGCCTTAAATATTTCCTGTATATATACTGAAAACCAAATCAGTACTATTAATTCTTGCTTCAACCATCACACAATTTAGAAAATTCAAAAGGAGGGGAAAACCTATTGTGTTTACCCCAATTTTACTCTTTTTATTGTTCTTTCTTCCTTCCTGATGTTCCCAAATTTCTTCTTTTATCATTTCTTTTTAGAGAAATTCCTTTAGCCATTCTTTTAGGGTAGGTCTACTGGAGACAAATTGTTAATTTCCCCTTCACTCCTGAAGGATATTTCACTGGATATATAAATCTGGGTTTAGAGTTTTTTCCTTGGGTTTCTTTTTTTTGTTGAGACAGAGTCTCACTCTGTCACCTAGGCTGCAGTGTAGTGGCATGATCTTGGCTCACTGCAACCTCCACCTCCCGGCTTCAAGCGATTCCCTTGCCTCAGCCTCCCAAGTAGCTGGGACTATTAGGCGCCCACCACCACGTCCGGCTAATTTTTTCTTTTTTTTTTTTTTTTGAGATGGCGTCTCACTTGGTTGCCCAGGCTGGAGTGCAGTGGTGCGATCTCGGCTTACTGGAACCTCTGCTGCCCAGGTTCAAGCAATTCTCCTGCCTTAGCCTCCCAAACTGCTGGGATTACAGATGCCGGTCACCTCGCCCAGCTAATTTTCATAGTTTTTAGTAGAGATGGGGTTTCACCATCTTGGCCAGGCTGGTCTTGAACTCTGACCTCATGATCCACCTGCCTCAGCCTCCCAAAGTGCTGGGATTACAGGTGTGAGCCACCACACCCAGCTAGCACTAGCATGACTTTAAAAATAGTATCAAAAATTCAGACATTCAAAACGTGAGTTAGGCTCTGACTGGAATAAAATTTATTTTATTCAACTTAATATTAAACAATATGGACTACTGGTAATTTTGTCTACAATGATACTCAACCAGTTTTGAGATTTTAATTCCTCATTAACTTTGGCATCATGAATAAAGCCTTAAGAAAAATCAAGCTTTAAGGACAAAAAAAATAAAAAAGCACCTCCTTAAATAAAATATTCTGTGAATTGTAAATTATTTGGCCAAGATCTTAGAATTTAAGTATAGTTTACCTGCAGCAACCTTTGCAAACAGTTTATATTACTGAAATATTTGTATGTTGATTACTGTAAAAAACATACATTGATGATTTTAGATCAGAGGTTAACTATTCTGAATCTTAAAAACATAAATTACTCATTAAATCCATGACATCTGAAAATATGAAAGTGGTATTTCCAAGGCTTATTTAAACTTCTACTAGCATCACCACTGTAAATACTTGATCCCAGTAATACAAATTATACATTAGAAAAATGATACCAATAGTTTAAATATTAAACATTAAGATGTTCCCAATTAGTAAAACAGAATGGAAATCTTTAATACAGTTCTTAGCAGGACAGTTCTTGTGAATTTAGTTGTTCCTGACTTTCTTGCAGGTGGTTTACAGTAAATGGCAGTACCTGATGGATAAACTATAGCTTTGTGTAACTTTTAGCTTTTTTGATACTACGGTTATTTGTACTGGCATCTTTTCATACAGGCCGATGAATTAAGAAATGGAATCTAAACATTCAATTAAACGTAAGCCAACCCCACCAAGATAGCAGTTCACTAGTGATTCTGGGTCTGCCTGCTAAATGTAACAATTTCACAATAAACTACACAAACACATTCAAATGTATCCAGTGTGTGCTCAGCTGTGCTTTAAAAACTCTCTAGTTGGCCAGGTACAGTGGCTCACGCCTAAAATCCCAGCACTTTGGGAGGCCAAGGCAGGCAGATCACCTGAGGTCACGAGTTCGAAACCAGCCTAGCCAACATGGTAAAACGCTGTCTCTACTAAAAATACAAAAATCAGCTGGGCGTGATGGTGGGTGCCTGTAATCCCAGCTACTCTGGAGGCTGAGGCAGGAGAATTGCTTGAACCCGGGAGGTGAAGATTGCAGTGAGCCGGGATTGCACCACTGCACTCCAGCCTGGGTGACACAGCGAAAGTCCGTCTCAAAAAAAAACCAACCAAACAAAAAACAAAACAAAACAAAACTCTCTAGCAACTAAAAGTCAAACACACCGTATTTTCTTAAGTGCTGTAGGGTATATAATATATGAACTTTACAAACCCACTTTAAAATGCATATTGGTTTTCTCATTTTTGTATTAGGTAGCTCGTCAATTCAAGTGTATAAAGTTTAATGTAACTTTTCTTTTCTTTTCTTTTTTTTTTTTTTNAGTAGCTGGGATTACAGGCACACACCACCACACCCAGCTAATTTTTGTATTTTTAGTAGAGACGGGGTTTCATTGTTGGCCAGGCTGGTCTCGAACTCCTGACCTCAGGTGATCTGCACACCTTGGCCTCCCAAAGTGCTGGGATTATAGGCGTGAGCCACTGCGCCTGGCCTAGAGTTTTTTCCTTTCAGCACTAGAAAAAATGTTGTATTTACCTCTTCCTTCTGGCCTTTATGATCTCTGATGGGAAATCTGGCTGTCATTTAAATTGCTGTAGGTAAGGTCATTTCTTGGTAATTTCAAGATCTTCATTCTTTATCTTCAGTATTCAGAAATCTGACTATGATGCATCTATGTGAATTTCTTTGGGTTTATCGTATTTGAGCTTCACTGAGCTTTTTCAATCTGTACGTTTCTGACTTGTGCCAAATTTGGGAAACTTTCAGCCATGACTTCTTCCTCCAGTACTTTTTCAGCCACACCCTCTTTCTCATCTCCTTCTGGGACTCCATGACACAAATTTAAATCTTTTGTTAAAGCACCATAGGTCTCTAAGGCTCTATTAAATTTTCTAGTCTATTTTCTCTCTGTTGCTCAGAATAGGTAATTTCTGTTTTTCTGTCTTCAAGCTCACTGATTCTTTCCTCTGTCCTCTCCATTCCACTGAGAGAGGACTTAAAAATTCCGAAAATTTCAATTACTACTATTTTCCAATTCTAAAATGTCATGGGGTCTTCTTTGTATCTTCTATTTCTTTGCTAAGGCATTCTATTTTTTCATTTGTTTAAAGTGTGCTCACTGTAATTGCTCACTGAAGCATTTTTATGATGGCTACTTAAAAAACGCTTAGCAGGTGGTTGTAACATCAGTGCCATCTAGATGTGTCTACTGACTGTCTTTTCTCATTCAAGTTGAGATTTTTCTGGTTCATAAGTGATTTTCTTTTTTTGAGATGGAGTCTTGCTCTGTTGCCCAGGCTTGAGTACAGCAGCGCAATCTTGGCTGGCTGCAACCTCCGCCTCCCAGGTTCCAGGGACTCTCCTGCCTCAGCCTTCCCAGTAGCTGGGATTACAGGCACAGAGTACCACACCTGGCTGATTTTTGTATTTTTAGTAGAGATGAGGTTTCACCATGTTGGCCAGGCTAGTCAAACTCCTGACCTCAAGTGATCCACACACCTTGGCCTCCCAAAGTGCTGGGATTACACGTGTGAGCTATTGCACCCTGGCTTAGTGATTTTCAATTGAATCTTGAAAATTTGGAGCATTATGTTATGAGACTGTGAATCTCATTTTCATCTTCCAATTTGGCAAGCCTCCTCTGACACAGCACTGCCAGCAGGGAAAAGCGAGTGCCACCTTGCCACAGCCAGAGGGAGGTGGAAGTCTAGGTTTCTTCAAGGCCTGTGATGACAAGGAATGGTGGTCATGGGGAGTATTGCTAAACACACATGGGAATTGTAGCCCCCCAGTCCTCTGCTGATCTATAACTGACTGGAAGGGAGAAGGGTGCCTTGTTACTGATCCCCCTGTGGCCTCCACGGATATTGTGGAGGTGTGCTTGCTATTGTTGGGTATCAGCAACAGTCTGGATTCTCTACTAGGCCTCTTTTATCACCCACATAGGAGCCAGAGAGATGCCTACGTATTATTGGGTAGAAGTTCAGGCTTCCTGTGACCACTAACACTGTGGGTTAGAAGTGCTATCACCTTCCAGAAACAATGAAAACCCCAGCTCCCCACTCAGCCTTCTCTGAGACCACCTTGGCTGGGGAAGGGGAGAAGTGTACCTCATGACTTCCAGGTTGGGGTACATATCTTGGCTCTCACTTGGCCTTTCCTGACAGGGGTGAAGGGGCCAGTTTATTCTGTGGTATTTAATTAGAGTGCTTGTTATATAAAAGTGTTTGTCTTGTTAGCTGCCCCTTTTGGCTAGAGAGCAGGTTTTTCAGGGGGTTTTCTCTTGGTCTTCTCCAGCACCAAGTCCAGGATAAATGAGGCAAAAAGAAAATCCAGGCCACTCCCCACCACGCTGCTCCTCTGGTTCTAAGGTCCCCAGCCAATCTGTCTTCTCTGTGCCTTTGACATTCAGCTTGTTTTATACAAATTTTCAGTTGTTTTGGCTGTACATAAGAGGAGGAATAGGAAAAAGTACCAGTTCATCCTGTTTAGTATTTAATTGTTTGGATATACCACAGTTTGTGCATTTATTAACCAAATGAAGGTCTACATTTAGGCAGTTTGTAATTTTTGGCAATTATGAATAAAGCTGCTATAAGCATTTTTTTTTTTTTGAAGACTGAGTTTCACTCTTGTTGCCCAGGCTAGAGTGCAATGGTGTAATCTTGGCTCACTGGAACCTCTGCCTCCTGGGTTCAAGTGATTCTCCTGCCTCAGCCTCCTGAGTAGCTGGGATTACAGGTGTCTGCCACCACACCCAGCACATTTTTATATTTTTAGTAGAGATGGGGTTTCACCATGTTGGCCAGGCGGGTCTCGAACTCCTGACCTCAGATGATCCACCTGCAAAGGCCTCCCCAAAGTGCTGGGATTACAGGTGTGCACCACCACACCTGACCAGCTATAAGCATTTGATGTAAATTTTTATGTGAACCTAAGTTTTCTTTTCTCCTGGTTATATAGGCATGATTGGGATTGCTGGATCACACGGTTAAGCAGACATTTCAGTTTATAAAAAAATGCCAAACTGTTTTCCAAAGCTGTACACTTTTACATTCCCATTAACAGTGTATGAGTCAAAAAAAAAAAAAAGAAAAAAAAAAATTAGCTGGGCATGGTGGCGCGTGCCTGTAATCCCAGCTACTCAGGAGGCTGAGGCAGGAGAATTGCCTGAACCCAGGAGGCGGAGGTTGCGGTGAGCCAAGATTGCGCCATTGCACTCCAGCCTGGGTAACAAGAGCGAAACTCCGACACAAAAAAAAAAAAAACAAAAAACAGTGTATGAGTCCCAGCAGCTTGGATCCTTGACAATACTTGGTATTGTCAGTTTTATTCCTTCATTAAGCCACACTTACAGGGGTGCCGTGGTATCTCACTGTGGTTTTACTGAGCATTTCCCACTGACTAGTGATGCTGAGAGTCTTTTCATGTGCTTATTTGTCATCCCTGTATCTTATTTGGTGAAATATCTTTTCAAATCCTTCATCCTTTTATTGAGTGGTTTTCTTATTGTTCAGTTTTAAGAGTTCTTTATATATTCTGCTTACAATTTCTTTGTCAGATACAGTTACCTTTTCACTCAACTTCTATTACTAACTCGCCAAAGTTTAAGACATATTTAAACCAAGACCTGGAAACTAACTCTGCACATCCCATTGTGAATATGGTTGAGTATATTTAGATTAAACTCAAGTATTTTTCATTTTCCAGGTGGTAGAATGTATTTCTTTTTCACCTACTAGTATTCACGATTTCTAAGGAATTTTTGGAGACTGTACAAATCACCGTGAAGTTGATATTATGTTGAAGTGTTCATTAAATGTTCTAGCATTCCGCCTGCCTTGGTTTCCCAAAGTGCTGGGATTACAGGTGGGAGCCACCACATCTGGATTTTTTTTTTTTTTTATAGTAACTACTCCTTAATCTAGGGAAGTTTAGTAGATTACAAATTTATTTCAGAGTCTTAATATGATTAAAGGGGGGAAAAAGAATAATATAAAGCAAAAATCACAGGAAGCCTATGGTCAGATAAAGCGTGAAGGTAACGAACATGATGAACGGTGAGCAGGCCTTACCTAGATCACTCCCAAGAGCTCCTGAACTGGTGGCTGGCCTTTCACATGGATGTGAACTCTGTCCTGATGGGTCCCCCTGCTGCTGCTGCTGCTGCTGCTGTTGCTGTTGTTGCTGCTGCTGCTGTTGCTGTCTGAAACATTCAAAAGTGAATGTACATTTAAAAAACAAAACTTAACAGGCCAGGCACAGTGGCTCACGCCTGTAATCCCTGCACTTTGGGAGGCCAAGGTGGGCAGATCACAAGGTCAGGAGATGGGGAGCAGCCTAGTCAACATGGTGAAACCCCGTCTCTACTAAAAACACAAAAATTAGCCGGGTGTGGTGGTAGATGCCTGTCCTCCCAGCTACTTGGGAGGCTGAGGCAGGAGAATCGCCTGAACCCTGGAGGCACAAATGAGCCAAGATCGCACCGCAATCCAGCCTGAGAGACAGAGTGAAACTCCATCTCAAAACAAAAAAATCAAAAAACAAAAAACAAAACTAAACTAAAGAATAAACACCATGAGAAAAACTATTCATGTGGAAAATACATTGTTCCACAAATCAAAGTAGTCACTGGCATGAAAAGAATGCAAGAGCAGTTAGTCTGATATATATTACTTTAAAATATAGAAGTGCTGGCCGGGCGTGGTGGCTCACGCCTGTAATCCCAGCACTTTGGGAGGCCGAGGCGGGTGGATCACGAGGTCAAGAGATCGAGACCATCCTGGTCAACATGGTGAAACCCCGTCTCTA